ACTCTTTGCCACTGACAATTTCCAATGGACCGGTAAGTGTAGCACCTGACCAGTGACATTAGAATGGCGGGGACTAAAGTTTCATGCTGAAGATTAAAGTTTCTGAGGTCAGGCAGAGAAGAGAATATAATTGAGAGTTATCAGGGAAATCATAAGGCGTATCATATAAAATTGGTAGAATCAGTACTTGAGCCTTGCTGAATTGTCATGTGCATACAGATGAATAAAGAATAAATCTTCGCAGCCACTGCACCAGGATTAGAGGTTGGAAGAGTTCATTGCTCCTAAGAGCAGTATGTATGTTTCTTCAATTACTACAATATACTATATAAGCAAAAAGAGGCATGAGCTGTGGATTTCTACTAATTTCTTTAAGTAACTTATTATGAAACATCAGTAAAAAACGATGTTCTTTCTAGATACTATAATAATTGTCTGTATGACACCTTTGGTTGACCAGGTACCACAGAGAAGTATATTATACAAAATCCTAGGCTGGAACTAATCATGGCCTTCAGGAATTATTCCTTGAAGGAGACGGCATATACGGCAAGAGGCTCAGGTATCTGTTGTGAATAAGAGTGTTAAAATAATTTATGCGCAGGTAGATCTCCTTTGCTTTAAAAACTGTTAAGAAAAAGATATATTCAGGAATTTTACAAATACTATTTTAATATTGTCAGACTTCTCAATGACTTTTTCCTTCCGGTCACAATGCTGGAGCAGTGGCTGTAAGAGTTCTTTGTTTCTGATAGCATTTGTGTAGTTTACCAGTTAATTTTGCCTTTTCTGATAGATTTGTGGCAGGCACTTTTAATGGTATAAAACATTCATTTGTAGTCCTGATTGCTTTTATAACATCAGACCTTTAAAATAGTCCTGCTTTATTATTTAGTATTATTTATATAGCAATATAGATATGCATAGCACTCTCCAGGCATAAGAATGCTCCTAAAATGTAGCAGTAATTTTCAGGCACTACTGCAGGACCTCAACAGAGCAAGTTCTGGACATCAGGTCAATTATATTTCCCATCTTCACTTCCTTTTACTGAAGCAGTACTAGCTAAAGGAGAGGTGGACCTGCTCTAATCCTGAAGGATACTGCAGAGAAAGCAGGGGTCAATTTTCTTTTAGAGTGGAAGATGATCGGTTTTGACAGGTACCGTCAATTTCAGCTTTTTGCAATAAAATGGGAAGTGTGTGCAGCATTTTACATCTCCTAAATAAATTACCCAACACAGACACATACACGCACTTGTCAAAGCTAATGGCATTCTTTCTGCTGAGCCTGACAAATTCCAGTCCTAGATCTAAACAAGAATAAATCTTGGCCAAATGTTGACATTTCACCCTCCTTCTGGGGCTACCTCTCCAGGGAGCAGAGAAATTTCTCTTCTTCAGCATCCTGAGCTGTAAAAATTAGTGCTAACAACCCTGCAGAATGCACTGTCCTCACAACAGAGCAATCTCGCTCCTAATGAAACATTATATGTGAAGTGCAGAAAACTAAAAGCGATATTACAGCATTCATTCATATTAATGTTTTGTGGGTTCGGTCCATGGTGAGCTCAGAAATTTTGCTAGCCATAAGCATGTTTCAGATCAAGTCTTTTAAAAGTCGAGCCGAACATTACTTGTCCAGTTTAAGGTTTTCTGTTCACAACTAATTGTGCAGCAAGCTGGAGTACTGAGGCAGAAAAACCTTGGTAAAGTAAAAAGTATCGTAAAAAATTTGATTTTTAATTTGCCATTGTGGTATAAAAACACTATATGCAGTGCTAATTGTAGATACGCTTCTACGTATATTTGCTATCCCTTGTCATTGCCCTGAAATACAGGGAGATGTTCCTAATGACCACATATATGCTCGGTAGCGTATTCAGCCGTGTGTCTCACCTCCTGAGCCGAAATATCCAGGGAAAAAAACATGCAGCCCTTGAGCATGTTGTACTCACGAGCCCTTGAGTACTCAGCTGTAGGACTAAGTATTTTAGCTGATGGCAAAGGAAAAGGCAGATCTCCAGCAGTCAAGGCCTTCTGATACCATTTGCTGGCTCCTGGGAAAAATCGAGAGTGGGGCTGTAGGAAAGCTAGCCTGTCCTGTCTTTCTCAAAAGTCTCCTGCAGTTTGATGCTTTTCTTCAGGCTTTAGGCTTCTAGTCTCCTTGGATTAAATGAAAATCTTAGCTTTTAATGAAAAGTGTCTGTACTTGTGGAAAAAACTTAAAAACGCAGACTCTTAAAATCCGTAAATCAACGGTGAAATAATGAAGAATGAACAGATGTTTTCAGGGACAGAGAGGTGGGGGACAGGACATTATTTTAAATATTTATTTTCTTTCTCTTTTTTAATACTATTGCTTTTGTAGAAGAGTTTTACCCTATCTGACATGCCCAAAGAAAGGATGAAGTGGCCGACTGGGATTCTGAGTATCATTTATAGTGAGAAAGGATCTCTGATACCACTCGTTTTTTGTATAGTTCATGGTGCTGCTGAGTTGGAAATAAAAGTTTGATATAGAATGTTCCTCTACAAAAGTATTTTTTGTTTTATTATTCTAATTTCATGAAGAACACAGGTGAGGGAGGGAATATGGTGCTTCTTAATATTTTATGTGTCCACTGAAGGATTTTCTCAAAGCAAAAGAAAGATCATTTTCTATCAAGGGCTTTCCTCCCACAATATAAAAAAAAAAATTGTTAATAGCTGGAGGCAACAGATCCTTACAGACAAAAAAGCTTTATTTTGACATATGAATTGTCTCACTTCTTTCCTTGTTTTCTCCCCTGTCCCACTGGAGGGGAGGGAGGGAGCCACCAGCTGTGTGGGTGCTTGCCTGCTAGCAAGGGCCAGTGCAGCACAGCGTCTGACCCAGTTAGGGCTGTAAGGCAGTGATAAACATAAACCATTGGATTGAATAGGCAGCCAATATTTGGTGGGTCTAGAAAAATATAAGTAATGAGTTAAAATTCTTATGGAGGATTTGGGAAGGGTTGAGATTTGGTGGGGGTTTGCATGTGTTCAGAGGCTGAATACATTGGAATTCTGACACTTAGGAAGTGCAGACTCTTTAGCATCCTATTTAGCATCTACCACACTAAATAAAATAGGGCCAGACACTGATCCTTTGTCCTAAATCCAACTAACACAGACTTGCTCATATATATACTGCCCAAGACTGGCCTCCATTAGGCTAGGAGGAGCCTAAGTGGCTGGGAGAAGCCTAGTGGAGGCAATATGCATGTCCTTCCTACATAACACTTAAGCGCTAAGTGTCCTGAGAGCCCCAGGTGGTACTGCTGTGACCCTAGAACTTTATTATTTTGGGGAATACCTCAGCTGAATGTGTCTGAAGTAATATGAGGGATGTGTTGTAGCCCATCAAAAGTTGTGTTTTCATAGCATGAAGCTGAAGGGCTGATCAGTGATGTATTGTGGAGTACAACACACAGGTACACTGGATGTTTTTGAGATGCAGAGATTTCTGGGAGACTGTTGGAGGGATGTTTATGGTGGAGGAAACTAAACCTGGTACAGTCATATCCATACTGACATTCTGGGGTTTATGTCTGGCATAAAACATCCTCAGAGCCAGGCCTGGACATTGTCCTGGAGATTTAGTTTGGATTGTCCAAAACAGAGCTAAGAAATAAAGAAGCATTGAAGCGATGTGAACGATTGAGCTTCTAGTGCTTGGGTTCATTTTACATCCCTCTTTTTTGAACAATATAGATATGAACTACTTAGATTCTACAGTTACTGTTTGCAGCCAAAACTTACTAAGTTTCAACACGAAGCAGATCTGAATTTTACATAACAACGTGGGATTGAAGATACAGCAGCAGTGGCCACATTAATTATAATCAGTTTTTGTAATTAAATTTGGTTTATTAAGGCATCACTCTGCATGGGTTAAGAAGAATCCAGATGTCAAAGCTGGATTTTTACCAAACAGGGTGCCTGTAGGCACAGCTGTTATCCCACAAATCTTTGCAGTCCTCAGACATGACTTTCCTATCATTTGCACTGCCTCTGGTCTCTCTGCACCTCATGTATTTACCCCACAGTCCTACACAAGGGAATAAGCTTGATGCTTACTTTCATTTGACAGCGCCTTGTACAAAAAAACCAAAATGTATTTGTGAAGAGGAGGGGGAACATGGGTTAAGAGATCTTCTCCAGGGCCTGCCTTTAGCAGGTGGCAGCCCACATGAAGCAGGACAGCAAGCCTCAAGCTTGCTGGCCTACCTGAACACCCTCTTGGGCAACTTAGGGAATGACTCAGATTGTCAAGTGCCATGCATTTGATTTCTGGTAAGAACCCAGTTGCTATCCAGGACAAAATGTTCTACACAGAGACCAGAGGTAAAGAGTAAGCCCACACAACTGCTCCAAGGCAGTGAGGCCCTTTGCTCTTTTAGCAATTCCTGAAGACATCTGGCAGAGGAGATGCTCTCTCCCACACCAGCCTGGAACATTCTAAAGCAAGAAACTGCCTATGTTGGCAACATCAAGAGTGGCCTTGCAGCTATGACCCAGCAGTGTCTTACAAACTAGACATATACCTTTGCCCACAGCGTATGGTTTTAAACAACATGGGTCAAAGAGGACTATAGCCTGCTCTGGCCTCCTGGGCAGTTTCCAAAACAAGACAGGGGCTGTGTTAGCAAGCACTCTTGATTAATGGCCCAGGCAGCTAAAAGGCAACTGGCATCCATTCCCCAAAATGAGCCAGCTCCTTAAAAAACATCTCAGAGACCAGTTCTTCCCCTAAGAAACCAAAAAGAGAGACTGCACTGCCAATCTGGGATGGCTTTGGCATATATCTCAATGAATGCCACATCTTTGTCTTGAGAGAGATTGGGATTAGAGAGATCTGGGTTTGGCAGAAGGTAGGCAGAGGGCCTCTGATTGACTTTGCTATCTGTCTCCAAGAAGTGACCATTCTGGACTCTCCCACAGTGTTCCTGTGTGCTCATAGACCAGGCTAGACCCGTCATGGCCCAGAAGCAAGACAGTTCTGGGAGGGGTGCAAGGGACTTTGCAATGTACTACCATTGCACTCCGGAGTCTGTCCAGAATGATTCATGTATGAATGCAGATCATCTCTGCTGTAGAGCATGTGAAGAGGGAGAGCAGAAAGGAGAAACCATTGATGCTGCCTTCATCGGGCAAGCCTAGGAGATATGTGCTGCTGGATGTGGCAGCTGTGGGAGGTGTGCTGCTGGTGATGGGTCCCATACAGCATGCCAGGGAGCATCATGAACACCAGAGACAGCCTGTGGCTCTCCATGTGGCATTTTATTTTGCTGCTTTCCCAGCATGTGTGAGGGGTGCTGTAAGACTGAGACAATCTGGACAGTCAGGAAACCTGGTGTGGTGGTTTGACCCTGGCCAGACACCAGGTGCCCACCAAAGCCACTCTTATCACTCCCCCTCCTCAGCTGGACAGGAGAGAGAAAATATAACAAAAGGCTCATAGGTCGAGATAAGGACAGGGAGAGATCACTCAGCAATTACCATCATGGGCAAGACAGACTCAATTTGGAGAAATTAATTTAATTTATTACCAGTCAAGTCAGAGTATGATAATGAGAAATAAAAAACTAAAACACCTCCCCCCGCCCCCTCCCTTCTTCCCGGGCTTAACTTTACTCCCGAATTCTCTATCTCCTCCCCCTGAGCAGCACAGGGGAACAGGGAATGGGGGTTGCGGTCACTTCAACATTTGTGGTTTCTGCTGCTCCTGCCTCCTCAGGGGCAGGACTCCTCACGCTCTGCCCCTGCTCCAGTGTGGGGTCCCTCCCATGGGAGACAGTCCTCCATGAACTTCTCCAATGTGAGTCCTTCCCATGGGCTGCAGTTCTTCATGAACTGCTCCAGCGTGCTCCAGCGTGGGTCCCCCGTGGGGTCACCAGCCTGGCCAGCAAACCTGCCCCAGCCTGGGCTCCTCTCCCCACGGAGCCACAGGCCCTGCCAGGAGCCTGCTCCAGCATGGGCTTCCCACAGGGTCACAGCCTCCTTCGGGCACCCCCCTGCTCTGGCGTGGGGTCCTCCCCGGTCTGCAGGTGGAGATCTGCTCCCCCGTGGGCCTCACCATGTGCTTCACCACGGGCTGCCAAACATCTTTATTTCCCTAGTGATACTATGAAGGTTGCTGGTTTTTCCCAGCCCTGCAGATCCCTTAGATACAGTATCACAGGTCAGATGTGTTCATTAAAGGGATCTGCATTGTCGGTTAAGAGGTTCATGTATTTGTCCCCTATTCGTGAGGTAAAATTAGGGATGCTGAAGTAAAAAAGACTGAGCAGAATTAAAAGGCAGAACTGGAGTTGTGCAGGACCATTGCTTTAGGATTTATCTGAGGATTAGTTTTTAGTTTCGCTTTCATCTTTCCTTGAAATCCTGCAAAATAGAAACCAGACACCACCACCCCCCTCCGCTACAAATACACACACACACATCACCCCCACCCCCCCAGCCCGAGCTATTCCCCTCTGTCATTGGCAGATTTGAAGTGCTGGGGTAAAAAAAAATGTCAGAAATATGGCTTTCAGCCAGCCCTCGTCGTGCTTATGCTGAAGCACTCTATTCCGAGACTGCACAAACTGCCGCTAACTGTTTTATTAGTGTAGATGAGCTTTGCTGTCACTCCATGACTTCTGTCTGCCTGGGTGCTGTGGTGGAGATGGTCAAGCTGAGCTTCAGCTGGAGGATGACTCAGAAACCAGCGCATGTATTTGCATGTCTTACAGCTGAGAGTCCAGGCGGGGGGGGGTCTTAATAGGAACTGAAACCAACTCGTGAGAACTCAGAGGATTTGTGCCTT